AGGCAGGCGTAATACTTTCTCAGAGGCTCAAGAAAAAGAATTTGTAAAACACATACTGGTTTTAAAAGAAAGGTTATTTGGCATCACTTTAATAGACATACGCCGCAAACTCGCATTTGAATTTGCTGAAAAGAACAACATTCCACATATATTCAACAAAGAAATGAAAAGAGCAGGGAGTTGTTGGCTCTACGGTCTCCTCAACAGGCATAAGCATTTATCGCAAATAAATTTTGAAGAAACTTCTCCTGCAAACGCGAAGGGCTTAAACCGTACAGCAGTTCAGTCATTTTTTAATTTATTAGAGTCTGTTTATAATAAATACAAATTCTTACCTAATAACATTTATAATGTCGATGAAGCGGGCATTATAATAGAGCCAAAACCGTCAAAAGTACTAACTCTGCATGGAGAAAAGCAAGTTGCGCATGGCTCTTTATCTTCCAGTAAAAAAGTTCTCGTTACTATTGAGATATGTATGAATGCTGCTGGTGATTATATGCCCACAATGTTTATTTTCCCCATAAAAGAAGTAAGCCCTGTGTCGGATGGCTCTTCTCCCGACTCATTTGCTGTTTATCACGAGAGTGGATCGATTCAGCAAGACAGTTTTATTACTTGGTTCAAGAAATTCATTGAGTTTTCTCGCCCCTCACCTGAAGAGCCGGTGCTTTTGCTTCTAGATGGACACGCTTCTCATATCAAAAGTGTGGAGCTTATCAAACTTGCACAAGAAAACAACGTCATCATCTTGTCCTTCCCTCCGCATTGCACACATCGGTTGCAGCCACTTGACGTATCATTCATAACTCCTTTGATGACATATTATAAACAAGAGGTGCAAAAATGGCAAATTGATCACCCAGGACAATGTGTAACAGTATGCAATGTGGCGAAACTATACGGAAAAGCTTTTTCTAGAGCAGATGAAAGACAAACTGCTATAGACGGTTTTAAAAAATCGGGAATATACCCATTGAATAAAAACGTGTTGGCTGATCTTAATGCTCCATCAAAAACCACTGAAAAACCTATGCAGCAGAAAATCCAAGGTAATGAGGCCCGCTCTGTAATATCTGGAAACGACAAAACCCACCTGTCAACATCTATAATTTCTTCAAATTTCCCTTCCCAAAAAGAAAAACATATTCAGGAGAAAAACAAGAAAAGAGAAGAAACTGCCATCCTGACTTCGTCTCCCTACAAAAAGCAGGAAATGGAGACTGCCACTCAGAAAAGAAAGTTAGAAATAGAAACCCATAAAGTTGAAAAATTAAATAAAAAGAAAAGGCAGAAAGACAGTTCATCCTCAGATTAGGAAGAGAACGAAGCCTGCATCTCTTGCAATGTTTTGTCAACAACAATCGAGCGATGGATACAGTGTATTAAATGCAATGGTTAGCCTATGAGTCCGGCAACAATGGTAGAGCAAAAGAATATCTTTTTTTTGTAATTTTTGTTTATAAAATACATTTTACATTTTCGTATTGTACACTAAGAAAAAAATTTCTGCATTTTAGTAAATATTAGTTTGTAAACAACCTTGACTCCATTTATTAAAATGAAGAAAAAAATTTTTTTTTATTAGCATATGTGTATTCACTAAGAAAAATGCAGAACATTTTTTTCTCATTGCCAGTGTAATTTGACAAAGATAAAACAAAACTTCGTAATCGTATTTTGTAATTGTAACTTCGGTGTTTCACATGTTTCAACCGATTTTACTCTACCGGTGGAGCAAAAAACCGGGTATTTTAATGTTTTTAAAAATCCTGTTATCCTTATGTTAATTAAGTCTTTTTTCACATAACTAAGCTTTGTTTTCTCACAGTTCAAGATCCACTAAAGACTACTAACGGCTCAGCAGAATCTTTTTGCCCTTTGATTTTTTGTAGAATAGAAAGACAAATCCATAAAAGCACTTGGTTTTGCTTCACTTTTAGGTATAAGATTTAAATAGCCATCTATCCTGCCTGTTTTTTATTTGTTAAAAATTCACGACAACTTCGAATATTCTTTCGATCGTATTATGCATATTAGCAAACTAATAATTCCGTTTTATTAGTGATGTTTATGTTTTTTTTCCAAGTATGTTTGAGTGTATTTTTTTCATCTTGAAGACAAAGCGATATTTATATATGTCGCAGGCAATTATGCGTGACGCTATTTATACACGTTGAAAAGTGTCGCGTCCTGTTCGAAATTTCGGAGCAATTCGGATTGTATTTTACAGATATTGGTAATACACACTTTGTGTCCGAAGCAACCATTATAAAAGTCGCGCGCGTTCTTTCGAATCTTCTCCGATTATTTAAATCCACAGCATTTTCAATCGCAAAGTGACCATTTTCATGATCACGCCGTGATATCAGAAATTGCAAACATTTCGACGCTACTGACTGAGTGTATATCGCTATTGTCCTCTTTAAATAGTAGTCCGCCTCTCATAACGTAATTCCGTCGCGTTGTCCTTTGTCCGTTAGCGAATATGAGTATATAAAATTTATGAGTTCGCATCCTCTCGTTAAACATTCTTTCTCTTAACTCATTTACTATTAAACGGCTGTGGATATCAGAAACGCATCAACATGTAAATATTTTTACCTGGGCGAGATATATATCTATAAAATACATATAATCGAATTTTTCAAGTAGCAAAGCCCATCTAGCGACGCAAACACGCAGATCTTTCTTATTCACTGTCAACGAAAACACATGGCAATTTATAGTAACAATTTTCAAGATAATTTTTAAATAAATTCTAAATTTTCGTAGCTATATATTATTGTATTATTGCAAGAGTTTCGCATAGTATACGCATATCTGATGAAACGCATAGTCGTCGAGGCATGTGTAATTCCGTTTTATTTTCCGAGGCATCCCCATGTGTAATTCCGTTTTATTTTCTGTTTATGAAATTTCAATACCGGCTTTAGTACTTAACGCAAATTTTAAACGATCAAAAGCTTTTTGTTTCTTTCGCACCGAACTCAAATTTTGTGTATCTGCTTTCTGTAAGTTACTAAGAGAATTAATTTTTAATAAAACATTTTTAATACATTTGCAGAAGTATCCATAGTTAAACCAAATTGCTTCACGTTTTCTAGCTGTGGAAATTTCATTACGGCTTTGATTTTACTCTTACTATAGACATCACAAACACGCGCTATGCACGCGCTATTTAACTCTAATATAATATTTTACTGTTACTATTATCAAAGAGACTCTGTAGTGTTTCATCGCGCCAAGTACGCGCGGGTCGCTGAACGCCGAGCGGTCCGAGCGCGCGGCCGCCGCGGTCAGCATATCATCCCATCCAGCTGGGTAGTTCGGACACGAACCATTAGCACGGACGCAAACCATATGCAGTTACCGAGCGAAACGACGTAGTTGAGGCGCACTTTCTCAAGCGGCGCGTCGGAAAATGCGTCCCCAGTAAAAACACAGGAATGGTCTCTCTGGGGGGGGGGTTCTCTCAGTTTCTCTCTGATCTTACAATAGATTGATACAGAAGTCGTGTTCGACGATGTCTTTAACAAAGTAAGGGATTGTTATTTTTATATGTATATTTGTATATTTAATAAAATCGTTTCATTGCTGTTTATCATAATACTAAGTAATATAAAGGCGAGACGTTCTCTTCCTGAGATTGACTTGAAAACAGAAATCTTAACCTAAGAATCAGTGTCTAACAAGTAATTATCTGGTTGTAATAGTAGTTTTTTCCATTTTTCTCTGCAATTAGCTTGTTACCTGCCCCCACCCAAGTGGTGTGGGACAGGGAGGATGAGGCACGCGAACAAAAACTGCGCCAGAGGCCCGTCTCAGCGTTGGTCAAAGCTGTCGTCACCGCACCACCTTATGGACAGCGACGAGGATGGGTGCCACGCACTCCAGAAGTGAGTAATTGCTAAAGACCTGCACAAACAATCATTCTTTGTCAGCATAATTCAATTACTTTTGTGTTTTATGAAATTACGAATGATTACGGTTGGAATATGTATGTACAATAGTACTTGGAAATGTATGGTGTATGTTGCATAGGACTTTGGAGATGGAGGAGCCTTCCCCGAAATTCACGTTGCGCAGTATCCACTTGGAATGGGGATGAAGGGCAAGGAATCGACAAGCAATGCCCTGGCGATACAACTCGACGCTCAAGGAAAAGTAAAATATGATCTTATAGCAAGACAAGGTCATGGTAAAGATAAAGTAAGTTTCGATTTTGCTGCAAATATATTCTCGGACTAGCATTTTAATCTGTATTAATTTTTTTTTTATAGATTGTCTATAGCAAGTTGAGCGATTTGCTACCATCAGAAATTACAAACGAGGAAGATCCTACCTTGCAACGACCTGTCGATGACGAAATTGAAGAAACCACGGATAAGACGAAAAAAGCGTTAGAAAAGATAACGAGATCGAAGATTGCGGCGGCCATGCCCGTGAGATGTGCGGAGAAACAAGCTCCGGCTCAATATATACGTTATACGCCGTCGCAGCAAGGGCAATCGTTCAATTCAGGCGCAAAGCAGAGGGTTATCAGAATGGTGGAAGCACAAGTAGATCCTCTGGAACCACCGAAATTCAAGTATGTAGAGCGAAAATAAGACGATCGTGAGAAATCGTACAAAGAACAGATACAATTACCGGATGTATTAATGTAAAGATTTACGATTGCAGGATTAATAAAAAGATTCCGCGAGGACCCCCGTCTCCTCCAGCGCCTGTCATGCATTCTCCCACGAGAAAAGTGACGGTGAAGGAACAAAAAGAATGGAAAATTCCACCGTGCATAAGTAATTGGAAAAACGCAAAGGTATTTGCAAATATTTACTTCGTGCTGAACATCACGTATATCTCGCTACCATAAGAGAGACAACAATTAAATATAATTAGATGTATTCGATTCTACCTAGGATTAAACAAAGCAATGTTATATTTCAGGGTTATACAATTCCGTTAGACAAGCGTCTTGCTGCGGACGGTCGGGGCTTGCAACAAGTTCACATCAACGAGAACTTTGCCAAGCTAGCAGAAGCTCTTTACATCGCTGACAGAAAAGCCCGTCAAGCTGTCGAAATGCGCGCGCAGTTAGAGAAGAAATTGGCTCAGAAGGAGAAAGAGAAGAAGGAGGATAATTTGAGGCAACTCGCGCAAAAGGCCCGAGAAGAGCGCGCCGGCTTGAAATCTGCCGCGACGCTAGGTTTGTATAATTGCCAATTGTTTACACACAAAATAAACAGCAGATAAAAAGAATATTTCTGAAAATTAAGACAAATATTCAAGTGATAAATAAATGCTTTCTCTCTTTCAACAGATAAGGCTGAAGAATCACGCGAGAGAGACCAACTCAGACAAGAGCGGCACAAGGATCGCGCTCGCGAACGTAACTTGGCTCGCGCTGCGCCTGACAAACGGTCTCGTTTGCAACGCGAACGCGAACGCGACATCAGCGAGCAAATCGCTCTCGGCTTACCCGCAAAAAGCATTCCTAGTTCGGGAGAGGCGCAGTTCGATCAGCGTCTCTTTAATACCAACAAAGGGATGGACAGCGGTTTCGGACACGATGACGAGTATAACGTCTATGACAAGCCGTGGAAAGATGGCAATTCTATCGCTTCGCACATTTATCATCCCAGCAAGAATATCGATAAAGACACGTACGGAGACGATTTGGAGAAACTAGTTAAGACAAATAGGTGAGAATCTTTCTATTTTTGTTCACGGTAATATAAATGATTATGAGTGGTTGTCTATAAATTTTAAGTTGCTATTGTTGCTTATTTTTTATTGCAGATTCGTTCCTGACAAGGAATTTAGCGGAGTCGATAGATCAGTCGCTCGATCAGGACCGGTACAATTTGAGAAAGACGAAGAGGATCCTTTCGGTTTGGATCAGTTCTTGAAACAGGCCAAGCGCGCCAGTAGCTCGACCACGACAACAACAAAGCGCAAAGATGAACGCGAACAGCGTAGAGACGATCGTGATAAACGTAGGAAGCATTAAGTATGTTTAATGCTTTCATATATCACGCGAGACATTCTTAAGGCTCCTGGGCTCTTTCCTGACATCTCATGAGATGTGACGTCAGAAGCGAGAAATGTTGAGAATTGACACGTTGAGAATTCTTGCGTAGTATTTCCAAATAAAAAGATATTTGCTTAAAATAACACTACAGATCACTTCATCACACTTTGAAAATACTCCGAGTTGAAGTTAAGTCTACCCCCTTTCTCTTGACAGTTAATAAACAGCCGTAAAATGAATGTAATACGAAATCTAGTTATGCGCCTGTGCACAAGCCTGCATCGTATCACATTCGTTTTACGGCTTTATTAACTGTCAAGGGAAAGAGGTAGACTTAACCTCAACTCGGAGTATTTTCGAAGTGTGCTGCAGTGATCTGTAGTGTTATTTTAAGCAAATATTTTTTTTATTTGGAAATACTACGCAAGAATTTTCAACGTGTAATTTCTCGCTTTTTTCTCACAACATGGCTGCGACGAGTACCCAGGAGCCTTAAAAGTTTATTTCATTGTTATGGCACGAATCTTACTCTCTGGGCACGATTAAAAAAACCATTGGAAAACATAGAATATGTAACACAATTTATTTTTATTTATATACATATACATAGATATATAAATAAAAAGACATTACTTTTTAAATATAATTAATTATTAATCATTGTGAAGATGTATTGCACACTTCTGCTTTGGAATGTTAGGAAACATAGCAAGCAACCCTATGTTTTGTCATTATATTAAATTCTTGGATCGCATCTTGAGTATTCTTATTTTTAATTTGTATAAATCTAGAAAAGAATTTTATACAGCACACGAACCACAATTAATAAAACTTGCTGATATTGCTATGCCGTTGTATGTACACTTCTTTTTAATGAAGCAAAATTTCCATGAAGATTATGGTAGCATAATGTGTATGAAAATTTTATCTTCTACCCACAATTTTCCGTTCTATTTTTATAACTTGCTTCACGGAAAAGCAAACGCGTTTTACATTTTAATAAGAAAGCTTCAACGAATTTAATACCGAAGAATACTGTAAGAGGGACTTTACAGGTCGCTTTATGAGTGGAAATTATTGCTTTATTTTCATTTATTCTACCTTGGATTTTTTTTCGCAGAATAACGCAGTGTTTCGCGTTTTTTATCGTTAACCACTTATTCTTGCCGTAACACTGAATAAACTTTTAAAAAATCTCGTATAATAAATGCAATTATACATAAATGTGAAATATATAACTGGAAGAAAATTATCTTTTAATTTTTATTGGAGAGATCTAAACTGTTTTTAATTCGTAACGCGAGAATTAACAGAAAAAATGCTTAAAGCTGCGATTTAAAAGTCGGTATATATTCATAGTCAAATCTTATATATAAGATCGTCTTAATATCTTCAGATACTCTATAGCCAATAAAACGAGTCGTACAGCGTTTGAAGATGAACTTGAGACGATCTTAAATATAAGCTATGAATATCGCCCTACAAATCTGAATATTTTCTGAATTCCGAATAATTTCTGAATAATATCTGCATAAATTCAGGGATTGATTAAAAAAAAAAAAATTTTTTTTTTTTTTTCAATTTTTAGTGGAATACATTTTCTTTTGAGTACATTTTAATCGACTCATTTTTTGCGCGTTATAAAATTCTCGCGCAACAAACGTATAAATGAGTGCCGCAACACTACACTATTTCGACCGATTAGTAATCTTCGTGCCCTCGTGCCAAATTTGACATTGGTTACCCGCGGCAGCGAGCCGCTGTCTTCGAGATTGAATGAAAAGCAAGCCGAAGGTCCTCGCGTGACCGCAAAAGCTAGAAACAAGCAACAAATCCACCGCGCATTTACACCCAGCCTTGGAATGTCGATCAGAGGTTGTTGGATGTTTGCCGGTTTGAGGAATTTTCACAGTTTGGCCGTTCGCCAAACGGTAGCACGAGCACGAGCCGACGTGCTCGTTCCAAGCTGTTAACTTACCATATTCGAATGCCGCCACTTTGAACCACCGCCGCCGTTTGATTGCGAGATGGACGGACCTCGGCTGAAGAAGCGCACGTCTGACCAGAACCGGCTTTACCTACTGCGCCGCCCGCATCGAATCTGTGCACCGGCGACAATTAATAATCGTAAAAAAGATTTGAAAGACGAAAGATCTATTATTTTTACGAAGATCGAAGATCCAGCTCATTTTATTGCTAAAGATTTATACATATATTGAAACAAATCTATAGCAAATTTTTCCGTAAAAAGGATTCTCCTGTCAATCCTGTCATCTCTTGTCTTCACCTTCCTAAGCAGTGAACTATAATCTCCGCGATATACAAAGATCTTTAACGATGAGATAAATAAACTAAAAAATGGATGTATAGGCTCTGTTAGGAATCCACGAATAGCAGAGGAGCAGGCTAATTAAGTGCCAAGTGTAAGTAAACGGTGTACAAAATTCATTCATTATAGAATAATGTTCTTCGTATGTTTCGGCCCAAGTTTCGGGCCATTATCAGCAAAAGATAAATCAATCAAAATGTATTAAACTAAATAAGCTAAAATAAATAAACAATACTTGTTTTCGTTTATAACAATAGTAGCTTCGTATGTGTTCTCTACGATAAATCGTCACTCATGTCGACTTGATGCGGGCGGCGCAGTAGATAAAAGTGATACAACCGGCTCGGGTCAGCCGCATATCTCTTCAGCCGAGAATATGTTTATCTCGCGATTAAACAGCAGTTCGCAGCGACGGCATTAATATATACTAATTAAAAAATTCTTTTTCACGAAAAAAATTATTAAAACGGTCGCGAACACGGCTGTCTTTAATAAAAATAATAATTTAAAAAGTGTAGCTTCAACATTCAGCCTGCATATATTATTCCATAAAAGGCGCGTCAATTTCTTCGCGTTTCCGTTTATTTTCGCGGCAGTTTTATGACAATTCTGACGCGTCGACGCGGCGCGTCTTCGGCATGAAAGGAACGGTGAGTTTCCGGTGCGATCGGGTAAACCTATCGGTATTTTTAGTAACCGTTTCCGACATCGAAGCTAACATCCCGCGTGCATGTACCCAGCGACGGAGAAACACCGCATCGCGCCTCGATGCCTTTACGTCGCTACTTTTAACGATCTCATTACTTAACATCCGGTTTACGGGGAGGTGTGCCACGTTTCCATCTGCAAGAGGAACAATCTTTTCCGAGCAAAAACATGACGCTTCTGTGCAATTTTGTACGCAAGTTAAATTACTAGACGTGTACATAACGCACGCACACGCAAATGCGCACGTACAAAGTTTCCGAGCTGCAGCTTTCGCGCGACGAGATGAGCGCAGATTCCCTGCGAGGCCGGAAATTGCATCGGTTTCGCAAATTGCAGTATACGAAACAAGTGTGCGACATTTCGAGGGGAATATAGCGTCATGCTCGCGGCGAAGATTTCTTCAACGATCGAACCGACATTTCTCGAGAGGAGCGAACGACGTTCATTGAATTTTTAACGGTCCCTATAGCGTCTGGCAACTATCGGGAAAAGATTTTCACGCGTTTGTGTCACGCGTACGGCGTACGCCGGGCTAATGTACCTACCATCGTAGACGCAGCGTACAGCGCAGCGCGTTAGAGCTCGCGACTCCAAATTTTCCAAGTTAATGCCATTCGAGAGAGCGCGCATTAAGCCCTATATAAGCTACTACGGAGCTTTAATCCTGAAACGCGTGACCTATTTTTCGCGCGTATAAATGCAAATGAATGCAGTCCAAAAATCCTCGAACGCCGCCAGAAAGTCGGTACAGTGTATATTTCAAAATTCCCTCACATTCCGTACGCATAATACGTTGTACATACATATTTCTTACACGCCCGACGGCACACGAGCACAACCGTTACGCGGCTATCGCTCACGTAAATTATCGCGTTACGATCATCCTCGCGGCGTTACGATGATCGAACGGATCGGGACGCGAGACTGTCGCGGTGCGGCGCGGCGGCGGCGTCTTGGTCGAAAAGTTACGCCCGTCACGTGAGAGATCTATTTTTCAGGACGGATAAAAGGGATTTTCGTGTCGGGTTTCGTTGTCTCCCTGCCCCCCGCCCGGCGCGACCCAATTACCGCATTTCCTAATTAGATCGGGAAACTTACTTTCGCGCGCTCGGGAAGAGATCGCGCGAGCTTCTCTCGGCTGGGGTGTCGCGGCCACGTAAGAAAGAGAGGGAGGAAGAAAGAGAGAAAGAGAGAGATGAGCCGAAAAGCAGGGAAATATCGCAGTTATTTATAAGCTCGGAGCGAGGGTCGGCGCTTAACCTTGCCCGACGTGGACCGTCAGGCATGTCACCTAGCCGTTTTATTACGACTGTGCGCTCCCCGCCCGAAACGTAGTTCCAATTGGGTCAGGTCCACGTTCTGCTTTTCGGAGCGTTTCACGAGCTGCCGCCGACAGAATGTAGCTCTGAACGGCGGATTAAGCGTTCCCCCTTGCCCTCCCTTTGCACCCGACTCGATAATACCGGTAATAATTTATTACGACGCTTCAAACACGGGGCTTCGTCTGCGAACGACTACATTTTGCACTTTCGAACAAATGGTCTATCTTTGAAATGGTTTGAAGAAGATTTTGCGGGCAAAAAGTCTTATTATTATTTTAAAAGTTTTATTTAAAGTTCTCATTTAACTTTAAAGAGTCTTATCATTCTTATTTAAGTCTTATATTTTCACCGTTCCAAGAAAATATAACGCAGATACTTATTTAAATGTCAAGCAACCTAAATTCGTAATTTTTAAATCTGCATCGACTACCTAATTTTGTTTATAAATATTGAGCAGTAGACTAGTACGATATTTAAACATTCACATAGCAATAAGAGAAACCTTTGGAGAAATCATTTCTGGCATCATAGTTCGTGCCAAACTATTGCTTAGAAAGAAATTGTATTATAAGGATAAGAAAGAAAAATACTTTATATATTAGAACGCGTAATTATAATAATCTTATAAAGTCAATTGTTGATTTATATCTATGTTTTCTGTGAAGTTCTATTTTAAATTAAATTAGTATTATCTTTTTACTTTATTGAAAGCCAAACTGAAAAACCCCTTTTTAAATGAAAAGAGTGTTATATTATTATATCGAAGTAAATGGTGATTGTCTTGGTTAATAAAATTACCTCGAAATTACATAATATATTGTTCGCTACTTTATTTTACCTTACTTTCCAAGCCTCTCTAATGCGAAAATTCCTTCGACCTCAATAAGCTTAATATGTCTCACATTAAGCTAACACGTTTTCTTTTTGCCGTCTTTTATTATTTCATCTTTTATTATTTATCTATATATGGGTAACGCGGGCATGATGCATTATCTTGATCATTAGTCAATGTGTTAATGTAACATTCGCGCTGAGCGAGCCGTCGTCAGAAGATTATTGATCCGGATAATTTACTTGGACGTAACCCGTCTCTAACAATAGAACGAAACTGTAAGTTTAATTGCGTGCTAACTTTCGACACTCAGACTGTATCGTGATGCAATTGCATTAGAAGATCGCAACTGTCACTTCCTGCATCGTCTCTCAGCAACTATATCGATCGCACAGACCCGCGTACACTCGGCATACAAGATCGGATTTACGGTATGCAAATACAGCAAATCAATGGACCTTTTACAAAATCGATTCTTGTTAAACCACGTCTAATGATGTCGTTAATAAGGTAGAATTCCACGACCTATAACTGACAATGAGTACTAATTAGGCAGCACCTAATATCGATTTTTACGCCATCGAAGTTTAAAGAATGAATGATCAGATTACGACTGATGATCAAGATTTTTTTAAATTTAAATTGTAGAAACTATCTCATAGAATTATTTTGATATATAATAGCCAGTCTGTCGGTTTTACAAGAAAATGAGATTTCTTTCTGCGGGCTTTAATTATTGAAAATCTAGCAATTTTCATGATTTTTTTTTTTAACCATAATGCATAACATTGTACTTGCTGAACTAAAATATATATAGCATTAAGTTTTACACGAAGATTTATGACGTCTTATACAAGATAATACACGTGAGACCATCTTTCACTCACATAATGCACATGCGGGAAACATTGTCATTTGTGGGTTACCGGCTTTTTTGTTTTCGAGAGACATGCGCGACGATGTAATCCGCCGGCGGTAAAACAACAACGGCGAAAGAGGATTTTCCAACAACGACTCTGATTAATTTCTATTCGCCGCAGCTCGTGTAACGACTTCAAAACGACAAATAGTAATGGCGATCGGCGTCCTCGTCGTCGTGTCGTTTGTCGTCCAATGATAACGAACGCGTTTGCGCTAATGAAACATTGTTTCGCGAACAAAAACGCGAAATCCCGAAACATCGGGACGGACGTGGCGGAGTTTCGGTGATCTCCGGCGGGCGAGGAATATATACGGCGGGAAACGGATGTTCTCCCTATAAGAAGACGGAAAAAGAGAGAACGCGGAATAACGACGATATTTTATCTCTGCTTCTGTTTTCTTTTGCGGGTATAAAGAATACGACGATAACGAATGCGCGTCTTATGCCGCTAGAATCTTGCCGGAACGGACGCGGGAAATAACGTATTCGGAATGGATTTTCTCAGCGTGGGAGATTTTTCGGAGATTCACGGAGACGTCAGTTTCAGTTTTTTATCACCTATTTAATCAATAAGCTAAAAATTTTAATTTGTGACTGATATATCATTCTTGAGGAATATTATTTGTGCAGTTACATTGCACACATTTTGTCTGTTACGCTTCACGATTTTCTCATGAGAAGGTATATATATATTCGACAAAAATATACCAGATCATCAGAATATATTGTCAATGGAGAATAGCTTTTTCCAATTATTTCTATAGCTATGTATTAAGCTTTAAATCTCCCTTTGTTAAGATCCAGAGAGGGAAGAATCTGGATGTCAATTATGCGACATCGCGTGCACGAATACGTCTTTCGTTAGCCGCGATAAATTTAACAATTACGTAATCGAGCTACGTCGAGTGGAATCAATGCAAAAATTGGAGCTCGCCAAACTCGTCGCGTTTCCCGAAACAGGGACTTTCGCCGCGCCTCACCTTCGCGAGACCGCGAAACCGGTCTCGCCGGCATGACAGAGCACCGGCAACCGTGAGCCAGTATCAGCAGCATCTGGACCAGCGCTCGCTCCGTCTCTGGCTCTGTAGTCCGGTACAACGCGCTCGTCACCAGGACCACGCCCTCAGCGAAGAACCGACGCCGACGCCGACGCCGTCGTCCCTTTCCTCCCCTCTCGAACGTCCGCTCCCACCACCCCCGCGACCTCTCTTTCTCCCTCTCTGGTGTCTCTCTCTCTCTCTCTCTATCCCTCTTTCTCCGCTGGGGACCCTCGCGTCTCACCCGCCGCCTCTTCGCCAGCCAGCCTGACGGCCCCCCAGGATCTCCTCGTCAGAGCGACTCGACTCGTCGTCGACGGTGACTCGCGCGTTGCCCCGTGCCAGTCCGCCACCAACCTCGCGATCGTCCACGTCGTCGTCGTCGTCGTCGCCACCCGTCGTCGCCGTCGCGTCGTGCCGTGCTTGGTGGTGGTGGTGGGTGAATGATCAGTGCGCGCAAAAGGGAGAGGGCGAGAGAGAAAGAGAGAGAGAGAGAGGGAGAGAGAGGGCCGGAGACCAAGCGCACAACAGTCGTTGACTCGCGGGGGGTGATCGTGGTGGGCCGGCGATCGATCGATCGATCACCAGTACCGGGATCGGTCGATCCGGGATCGAGAAGAACGAGAAGCGTGCGCGCGATCGTGTCACGTTGCGCCGTGTGAGGGTTGAGTCTTGATCCCGGGGGTTGTTGCTTGGATGACACTGGGGTGGTGGTGCACGCTGCTGATCGAAGAAGAGAGTCAGTGCACGGTGGTCCTTGAACGTCTGGTATCGCAGAAGGACTGCACGCGGAGGAGGACTCGCGATAGTTTGTCAAACTCGGAAGCAGCCGCGTCATATGGTACGTTACGATCACTTGGTATACGTATGCCGTGATAGATTGTTGTGTACCGTGTAGACGGATTTAGGGTTACACCGGGATAGATGAGGCGGCGAGGGATCGAGAGAGCAAGTGTTTGAAGCGTTGTTTGGCCCGGTGTAACGAGCCGGAGCGGTACTCGCATGACAACGACGAAATGTTGAACGTGACTGGTTGGAGTCCGTGGCTTTAAGCGGAGTTACGTTTCCGCGTTTAACTCTTAACGAGAAGACGCGGAAAACATATGTTTCTTTCGTAAGCACTCCAGGTGCGTCCAGGCAAACGATAAAATCGAAAATAAACTGAAAACGGCGAATCGCGATTCTCACGTTTGAAAGAAAATCGGTTTCCTCAGTTGGGATTTGCCTCGAAGTGCCACATTGAAAATTCGAGTCATGCATATTTCCTAGTAGAATTCTATAGAGTGGAAGATTGGCAAGAGCTGTTTATTAAAAATGGACATTCTGAATAATGAAAAAAAAAAGGAGAAAGCATGCAATATTTGCGTATAAAATGCAAGCGCATTTATAGGCATCAGAAATAAATTGGTAAATTAATTGCGACGACAAAATAAATATATTTGTACAAATACAAATGTATTTAAATTTTCCAAATGTAATACTATTAATTTTTTCATATTGTTAAAAAAATAATTACAATGTGAAAATATTAATTTAAATTAATATTTTCAAAACAGTCAAAATCCGAGTCGACACTTATGTCTCTTCCCTTATAATTTTCCACTCCAGCATCTCTCTGTACGCTGCCGTTGAAAACGGAGAAGTCGAATCCCTGACGAGCTCGCAGCTCCAGTCGTAAATTTCGCTACGATATAATTTGTTACGCTCACGTTTTCCTCGCGTTGGCGGATAGGAAATATAACTATACTACGTTTTCACGTTGTTTTCGATGATGTAACACTGCGTGACGACGACGACGACGACGAGACGGCGGCTCGTAAGAGCGCGAGACTCGGCATGGCGCCGAGCGGAATTTCGACGTTCGTATATAAAGCACACGTTTTCGCCGCCAGGAAAACCGCCGCCTTAATTAAAATCCTCCAAATCCTCTAATTAAAATTGCCGCGCGATCACGGGAGGCGCGAGAGAGAGAGGCGACGTGACGGTAGAGCGATCTCGGCGTCATTCTCTTCGCAGTAACAAGTCTCGAAGTAGTAAAGGGATCGCGTGCAAAAATGGTCAGACACTGGGACGGGGAGTTTTGATGCTGTAGGCTGTCGTTAGTTAAACTTCATTTCGTCACCCACAAATTGTGATTCAGTTAAAAAATTAATTAATCGAATATGCCGTCGGTGTAATTAATTCTTTCACGCTCGATAACACCGCGACTTAATTAATTAATTAATTAATTTTCATTGCGCGCTCCGGTTTTATTTTAGATCTTATAATTGTAACTGAGCCTATTTGCGACACGATAAACAGAGAACAAAGATTAAGTAATTATTGTTAATTATAAGCTTTTACATATACTGCCTACGTTGCGTTATATTATCTTAGCCCGATTTTCTACGTTGGAAGATAGTTTATAAGAATTAACCTTGCCGTAACATGTTTTATCGCTTTCCAAAAAAAAAAAAAAAAGAAAAAGAATCTCTTTATTCTCGGCTTGTCGAAATCGAAATTTATATTCGTCTATCTTCTTTTCGTATATATCTTCGCGGAGAATTATGCTCGTCGAAATTATAACTCTTCCGAACGCTGGCACGTGACGCGGAGATCTCTCACTCTGACGTTTATTGAGTCGGATATTTTGTCGGATGATCTCCATATGGTTCCTACAGCACATAATTCTTTTGGGGAATAATTGATCGGTGTTGCAAGAAAAATGAATTAATCCAGTAGATTATGTGTCTTAAATAAATTAACTTAAAAATTCAGACTCTTTCGTTCAGTCATTTTATATAAATTAATTCTTCTTTTAATTGCATGACTCTCTCAATGCATTCTACTTACAAAAAGCATTCAGCGTAAAGACAGTTGATATTTATTAATATACTAACGATTGGTCGATCGATTGTAACGTAGTCAATGCAAATCTTTGCGACACTACGTCGTCATAATTCTCGTTTGAAAAAAAATGCAGATATAAAAAATCAACCAAAAAAAGTGTTATTTTCAGAGTGCAATATTTTTTTCGCGATCGATACGCGTAGAAAAGTGCAGTATCGCGTTTCAGTTAAACGCCTTCGCCTTCGCGAGACGTCATCTTGCCTGAAATCTCGTGGCATCAATCTCGAACGTTGACGTACGTAAAAGTGCAACGGCTTCGCTATCATAGTGACACGCGAATTGTTGCTGGAAGAATATGCGCGCATACTATGCACACAAACGTCTTCACTTATATCGGATGCATCGGTGCGGCACGCGCGTTTCTTTTCGATCAATAAAATTTTCCAATAAATATGACGCTGACGTTTCATCAAGAAAAACTTGAAGGAGTGTTTCACAAAGTGAAACTTATCAAGATTAAAAGTTTCCAAGTAATTGCAATACGGTAGTGTATAACTTGTCAGAAAGGGATTTACGTTTTAATGGGCTTTAATTAAACGTCGTTCTCGAAATAAACCATTATTTTTGTTGATTTAATTTGATTTCTGACACTTCAGCCTCGTTAAAAAATTTACAGTTTGCAGAAAGTATACGCGGATCTCTCGCGCACTCATCCTACGTCGCGTCTGTACATGATTTAAGTGCCATAAGTGCATATAGTTTGTGAAAATAACGACGAGTGGCCGAGGCATGTCGGAAAATTCGAAACGCTAGCGACTAATGGACCTCGCTGAGTCAGCAGTATTTCCTACTGGGGTAACACGCAAAATGCTTGACTCGTGATATATCTAAAAGTTACTCTTGAATTCCATATTTCATCACAATGAATATTACATTACGTAAAATTTTGTACATATGCATACATGATAAGTTATAATATATAAGAAGAATACTGACAGAAATTATTTATGATCAAATTTGAATACATATATAAAATTATGAAATGGGACTAATCATAAATTGCACTCTTGCATGAAATCGAAAGCTTTTCATTTCTCGTAAAGATCAGCATCGAAGGCATTTAAATCGATGTGCCTTAAAAATGAGCAATTTAAATATTCAGCAAGAGAAGAGATCTGAACAATAGATCTCGTGTGAGTGCTTGCGGCAGAGAAATGTGCGAGAGACGATGTCAAGTGTCGCATCGATTGTCGATTTCGCCGCAATTCTTTTGTCTCGTGTCCGCGTGAATAATCTCAAAATAAGACGCCTAGTCTGCGGAAAGAGATAATAAAGTTAAATAATTGATTTAGTTACCTGTCGTCAGCGAGGAATCGATAGTCGGTCTAAGTGCACACTAAATATAATTGTATAACGTTCGACAACTTTCACAGCGTTCGTTAGTAACAAGCAGGGCAATCAATCATCGTTAACGGCAGTTTGAATAATGTTAATTCTTATATCAACAAAGGATATATGTCATGAAAAATCACGTAATTACGTAACAAATTATCCGTCATCGATGAAAAAAAAAAAAAAAACGGTACATGATCAACGGCCTGAAATTTCTAAGGGAATCGAACGCCCGAGGGTTTATCCCGGCGATAAATGAGTATATCTGGCAATTGGCGAGTATGTTTATCGGGGTCGGGAAAGGAATTCGCCATCGTAAATTTATCGTCTTATTTACTCGCATCAGCGGCTATGTTTGCCGGTGAGTATCGAATGCGAGAGCACCGATATATAGAAAGAAATAGTCCGGATATATGGGCGAGTAGATCGAGTAGGATGAGGCATATATATACCGTTCAATGTATTTCGCGATTTCTCGCAGGTAGGGAGACGGGTTCCCTTTGACAAGTGGGGTCTCGCGGGGGGGGAGGGGGAGGGGAAGACCGTCGGGTTAAAAATGCCAGTTATTTTGCGCGTCTTTATTTATGCCTGCCTTATATCTCGCGGACACGAGATTTATCGCCGGCTTTCGTTCCGCGAGGAATATATACCGATATATACTGAAGGCATACATATGTATATACGCGGCTTAATTCCGCGACCATTCTTACATCTCTCCTCCCCTCCCCCCTTCAACCAGCTCGTAGCCGCGCGCGCGAATTATTTTCGGTCGGAATTCTGTGCGCGTCCGCGTTGATTCATGCCCGATTTAAATCATTAGGACCTCGGAATCTGGGATGCGCGAGCGCGTACGAGCGATTGTACGAGTTAAACCGAGATTCATGCACCGGTATTGTCGTCGCTAATCCAAATCCGCGCGGTGTATCGAGGTGACTGGGATTTTCTCTCCCGTCGTGATTTTTGTCCTCTCTAGCTCTCTCTGTGAGTTGTTACTGCAATTTTATAAATGTTTTCATGTCGCGTTGTAAATGTTTGTCTTATTTAATAATGGATAATATGAAAAATTGAATTTGATATAATACTACTTAAATACTACTATAATATTACTTAAAACTATGACAGTAAATTATATAATTAAATGGTATTAAATTACTTAAACGGAATGGCATTAAATTACTTATCGCGTTACACGTATATCCGATTATATCGTGCATGGAAATTTTCAAAATATAATTATCATTTGAAACACAATTTATTATGTCTTAAGCAGATAAACTTGCGAAAAGAAAGAGAAACGTTGTTAACAAGATCATTAAAAAATAAACTTGCACAATATCTATATTTTAAAAAATAAAGATGCGTTGTATTTAAGAATCTTTTTAAAGATTTTTTTCCAATTCCAAGAATAAATATATTACATAATATGTTACATAAATATATTACATAAATATATTACATAAATATATTACATAAGTGGATTTATTGATCCAATATTCAACGTAATAATTAGTGTATTATACAGTCGGAAGACCATCATTATTAACCCTCATTAATTTCATTACGTTGCCGCACAATTATGCAACTGCATCAATCATCCGTCGAATCTAGGGTTTTAAAACT